AACTCTGAGGATCATAACAAGCTATGGACAACACTTTGGAAAATTAGTACTCCAGAACATTTAATTATGCTCATGAAGAGCCTGTACATAGACCAAGAGACAGTGAGTGGTTCGAACAAAACAATGACACTGAATGGCTTAAAATCAGGAAATGTGTGCGCCAAGGTTGTGTTCTTTCACCAAACTTATTCAATATGCATGCTGAACAAATAATCTGAGAAGCTGGGTTATATGAAGAACAATGTGGCATCAGAATTGGAGGAAGGCTCATTAACAACCTATGATATGCAATAGATAGAACCTGGTTTGCTGAAAATGAGAAGAACTTAAAATACTTGCTGATGAAGATCAAAGACCACAGTCTTTGGTATCGGTGACACCTCAATGTAGAGGAAGCAAAAATCCTCACAACTGGGTCAATAAGTAACATAATGATAAATGGAAAAAATATTGAGATTGTCAAGGACTTTTCTCTGTTCAGATCCATCATCAATACTCATGGAAGCAGCAGTCACGAAATCAAACAATGTATTTAATTGGGCAAATGTGCTGCTCAAGACCTCTTTTAAAGTGTTCAAGAGCAAAGATGTCAGTTTGAGGTCTAAAGTGTGCTTGACCGAAGCCATCATATTTTCAATGGTCTCATTTGCATGTGAAAGTTGGACTCTTAATAAGGAAGACCATAGAAGAAGTAATGCATTTGAGTTAGGGTGCTGGAGAAGAATATTTAAAGGTACCATGGAGTGTCAGAAGAACCAACAAATCTGTGTTGAAATAAGTAACCAGAATACTTCTTAAAAGCCAAAATGGCCACACTTTGTTTTTCATACTTTGGACATTATCAGGAGGGATCAGTCCTTGCAGAAGAACATCATGCTTGATAAAGTGGAAGAACAGCAAAAAAGAGAGAGACTCCCAACAGAGAGCTCAAATGTAGCAGCAATTGTGAGGATGACAGAAGAATGAGCCATGTTTCCTTCTGTTGTACATAGGGTCACTATGAGTCAGAACCAACTCATTGGTACTTAGCAACAGCTTAACAACAAGACTCCACAATCTCACAGTTTTGTGAGATGTTACTGCATATTGTGAACCTCAGGATTTGACGGAGGGGAAGAGTGGTGATTGGTAGCAGGGATTATGGAGTGGTATAACATATTGGAGAAGCTGGACATTTGAGATACCTCTTTCCTCTACCTCATAGGGACCACCAGCATCCTGAGAATTCCAAATTCAGAGTGCTGATTCTAGGGGAATGACTTTCTTTTTCTGTCAACTCTGGGAAAAGGTACTTGTCTCCTTCCAGCATCTGCAGACCCAGAATTCCTTGGAAATCTCCCTGTGTCTTGGTGTCATACTTCCCCTGGGTCTAGGAGCTTCACAGTTCAGGGACATCTAAGTCTAAAGGATGGCATCAATCCTGGCTTCCCTTTCTTGCTGGTAGGATGTACCCCTTTCTCTGCTCACTCATCTTTCCTTCCATCTTTGTAAAAGGAGATCACACCCCTGTAAAACTCTCTTACATTTGTTCAGGGTTGTGATGGGATTAATGGTACTGAAAGCCTTTTTAAATTCTTCTTATCACTTTACCACATTACCAGATCACATCATGGAGGATCATCACTAACTGCCACACTACTGATAATCATGACCCAGCCATGTTGACACATATTTTGTAGGCACACAAATCAATCTATGACACTCATATTGATAAGAAACATGCAGTTTTAAGATGTTAGCTGTATAGCCCACCACATAACTTCTTTAAATAATATAAAGCACAACATAATTAAAAGGTTATGAAATGAAATGAAAATGTCTTTACTACTGTCTTCAAAATCCCAAACCCAATCCAATGCAGTCGAATTGATTCAGACTCATCGTCTATAGGACAGCATAGAACTGCCTCATAGGGTTTTTCCAAGGCTACAATCGTTAAGGAAGAAAACTATCTCATCTTTTTCCTCTGAAACAGTTTTATCTGTTTAAACTGTTGTTCTTTTGGTTAGCGGTCTAGCACTTAAGCATTGTGCCACTAGGTTTCTTACCATTATATTCAGTTGACCGTAAATGCTATTAATCTGTTAGCAAACATAATTGTTGTTGTTAGGTGCCATTGAGTCAGTACCAATAGTGGCATCTCATATCTCACTGAGATATATGAAAAGAAACCTGGGGGTTTGACTGTTCTTGGGCCAACCACACAATTGTTGCCAGGTTTGAGTCCATTGATGCTGCCACTTTGCCAACCCATCTCACTGGGGGTTTTCCTCTTTTTCTTTGACCCTTCACTTACCAAACATGATATCCTTCTCTAGGGACTGGAGAGCCCTCCTGACAATATGTCTGAAGTATGAGAGATGAAGTTTGGCCATCCTGGCCTCCAGGGAGCACTCTGGCTGCACTTTTTCCAACACAAATCTGTTTGTTCTTTTGGCAAAATTCAGTATTCTCCTCCAACACCATAACTCAAATGCATTAATTCTTCTATGATCTTCCTTATTTACTGTCCAAATTTTGCAAGTAAATATAATTGGGAGTCACTAAAGTGAAGTGAGATATCTTTTTGCGGGGATTAGTTTTACATATTTTAAACAGGAATTTTTAAGATGAATTTTTAACTTTAGAAATGAAACTTCTTTTTCCCATGGCCGTCATTTTGATTATTTTTTAGAATGTAAATTTTTACATGGAAATTAAAAATAAAAAAAAGTCTGGAGAAAACTAATTTAGGTTTTAGAAATCACAGAGACATGTAAAGAAATATAAGGCAGTTAAAATTTTATCAATTTTCAAATCGAGACTATATTGAGACCAATGCCTTCAGACTTGGGAATTGTACTAGTACTTCAGCTTTTTCCTCAAGAGTTTTAATTTCTTCCAAATTACTTAATGAAGATCCAGAGCAAGCAATAAATTGTTTACTTGTTCATTCAACAAATATTTATTGTTTGTTGTTCCCATTATGTAGGCCATATTGCCATAAGAAAAACATATATAACAAAAATTGTGTGACCTCTGCCCTTCTGGAGAGTACAGTCTACAAGAGGAGAGAGTTATTGTTGTTGTTTGTTGTCCTTGAATGGGTTCCTCCTCAATAGTGAATCTATATACAACACAACAAGTCACTGCCTGGTCCTGTGCGTCTTTACAATTGTTACCATGTTTGGCCTCTTTGTGCAACCACTGGGTCAATCTATCTCATTGAGAGCCTTTCTCTTTTTCACCTCACACTCTACTTTACCCAAGCATGATGTTCTCCAGGGACTGGTCCCTGATGATAACATGTCTAAAGTATGTGTGATGAAGTCTTGCCAATCTTGCTTCTAACGAGAATTCTGACTGTACTTCTTCCAACACAGATTTGTTTGTTTTTCTGGTTGTCAATGGTATATTCAATATTCTTTACCAACACCATAATTCAAATGCATCAATTCTTCTCAGGTCTTTCTTATTCATTGTCCAGCCATCATATGCATATGAGGCCATTGAAAATGTCATGGCTTGTGTCAGGCAAACCCTGGTGTTCAAACAGATGGAATTAAGATATATGTCATGAATGAAGTAATAAAGAATATCATGAGAGCACATGCCCATACCTCTAGCTCCTGTGCAGTTTTGGAGGTCAGGAAAGATTCCCTTTCCCCTGAAAACTTTAACCAGGAAATTGAAACAAAACCAAAAGCAAAACTTCCCATTAATATAGTGTGTTTCCATATGAAATTAACTCACCAGTTACCAAACTTTGAATAAGCCATCAAAGTTCTAAGCAGTACGTAATAAACTGCAGCATTATGGAAATGACTTAGGTAGTCTATCATATGAAAATTTTCACATGCATCACTATCAGTGTGAAAAGATAGGCCCTCCGCCTTGAAAGCAATAATTGTTTTAAAAATGTCTCTGGAAGTGTTTCTCTTTATTCACTAAAACATTGAAAGCACAGTAATTAGTATTTCAAGTCATCAGTGAACTAAAAGAGTTCTCCACTTTATTTATGGAGCTCTCTCTTGCATGCTTGCATGTTCTCTGCCTCTGCCTCTCACACACAGATATGTACACTTTCTCTTTCCTTCTTCCCTCTCTCCCAAGCCACCCTTCTCCCATCCTTAAAATGGTCCACCTGTAGGAGTCAATCAACTCCATTCTGGAATTCTGTCGAGTGTCACAGGAAATGAAAGTGATTTTGACCAGTTGTCACCACTTTCTACCTCCCTCCCATTTAGGAGCAGTGCAGCCCAGGACATGCATGTGCCCTTTGGGGGCTGGCATAGTAAAGAAATTTGGTGTCTTCCAAGCAGTAGCTTGGCAAATGCGTTGATTACAGAGTGAATTACTAAGTCCATTCCTTAACAGTTTGGTGAGACTCTGCTCAGTGAGTTGTCACCCTTTCTACCAAGAAGAATCATTATTTTTTTCCCCTCTCTCTCTGCACCCCCTACATATACCTGAAAGGGAGGTTGCCAAGGGTAGCTTCTACCCAGATTTGATCCCCTCCCGTTCTCCACTGCCCTTCACTCCTTTCTCTAGCGATCTCTGCCATCTCGCCCTTTCTCCACCTTCAGACTTGAAAATTAGTACAGGAAACAAACAGGTCCCCACACAACCTAAGGAAAGTCGAACTTCATTGGTTGGCTCCAAATCCCAGAGGGAGGGAGGATAAGAGGGAGAAGAGGAGGTTGAACAATGTTGAGGGCGGGGACCGGCTTGGGGATGGGGGTTGGCTGCGGCGCTGGAGGGACTGGGACCCTCGCCTCGTTCTCCAGCATTAAACCTCGCGACAAACTTGCTCAGCCGTGCTGGCAAGTGTGCCAACGTTAACCTGGACTCCTCAGGTGCGGTCACGAAAGGGTGTTGCGTATACACAGCTCCACATACAAACGGAAAGCTCAGCGTGAGAAGCTGGGGCGAGGACAGACAGGTTCCGCCTCCCCCGAGCCCGCGTGCACACACACGCCCACCGCGGCTCGGGCTGCGGAGCCGGGGCGAGTGTGAGCGCAAGTGTGCGCACGCCGCCCAGAGCCACTCGGCCCTCTCCTCGCACCCTGTTCGGGGCATCTTGAGAGCCTGGAAACGGGAACAGGCTTAAAGTATGGCATGTTGCAAAGATGGTTTCTGCCAAGAAGGTGCCCGCTATCGCGATGTCCGCTGTGGTCAGTTTCGCCCTCCTGCACTTCCTGTGCCTGGCGGCTTGGTGAGTTCTCAGGGGCTCTAGGGTATGGGGAGTGGGGTTATAGGGGCCAGTCCCAGGCCCTCTCCGGCTCCAAGCCTCTCCCGGGGCCAACCAGACACTCCAGTCGCAATGGAAGATCAGCCTCGGGAGCCGGGGTTGACTGTGACCGCATAGATGCGGAAAGCATGTGGGTTGTTGGGTGCAAGAAGCGAAGAGCGTGGGTATTTGAGTGCGTGTTTGCCAAGTGCACTCTTTTTGACCATTTCTTTCTACCCCTCTTCCAAACCCCAGCTAAGCCTTTAGCTTGGGGCTAGGGACTCTTTTCAAAAGATAAACCTGTTTCCACCTGTTCTCTGCTCAATTCTTAAAATACTTCCTTCCGCCCCCGTGGATTTAAAATAATAATGCATATATATATATTTTTTTTCTTTCAGTTTAAACGAATCCTCAGGACAGAACCAAAAGGAAGAGAAATTATGCCCGGACAATTTTACCCGCATCCTGGACAGTTTACTCGATGGTTATGACAACAGGCTGCGTCCTGGATTTGGGGGTATGAACGATTTCAAACGCGCAAATGTGTCCTGTCTGTCCATCTCTCCGTTTGCCTGTCTGTCTGTCTGTGGGAATATCATTAGGTATGCCTCACGTGCAAAAAAAAAAAAAAGATTAAAATTCTCTCTCTCTCTCTTTTTCTCTCCTCACTCGCTCTCCTCTCTTCGTGAGACCTATGACAAGAGGGGCCGCCCCCACCCGTACTTTCTCATCTCCCTGCCCCCTCAGAGGCTTCCTCTCTCCCCCACACTAATTACCTCCTGGGACCTGATTGCTGGGTGGGGGAGGTTGGAGGGGAAGAGTCAAAAATAGGAACTGAGGGCACAGCTGTGGGGTTGCGCTGCCTGCTGGGAGCAGAGTTTTCCTGACCATGGCTACTTTGAGCAGAGCCAGTTGCACTTAAGGCATCTGACCCGAAGTTCCCTGTCCTCCCATGTGCTTGTCCCTCTGCCAAAACCTCGGCCATTGTTCTACCTAGGACAGGAATCTAGGGCACGAAGCTCTCTGCTTTGCTAGAAAGAAACCATTGCCTTTCTGTTCGCTTCTGCAGCGCGATGAATTTTTTACTTTCTTTTGGGAAATGGCATTTGTTTCCCTCCTAAGACTTTAGAGTCAGAGCTATATAAGATTTATTCCTCCTTCAACAAATATTTATAGTGAGCACATGCATTAACAGTCCCATTTTTCTTTTTCATACTCATATTTCTTTCCCTTATGTAACAAGAGCACCTAGGTGGCAAGCATGTTGCTAAACCACTAGGTTTACTAAAGTCTTAAGATATAATTTTTGAACCCCAACACCCTTTCAGATCAGCTCAGAAAAGAAGTTTTTGCTAGGGTCCCCCTGTAGGCTCTCCTAGGTCTCTTGATTGTAAAATCACCATTCTTTCTACTACACTGAGGTACTTACCTCTCAACAAATGAGCCCTGGCAGCAAGTGGCATCACTAGAGTTGGTGTCACTTCTTCCGTCCCCCGGCCCCCATGGGCCTCCTCCCATACCAGACCATACAGAATCTTTTGGTGGTGTGTATCTTCTAGTCAGTTCTGACTCATAGCACCACTGTTTTTCTAGGGGCTATAAATCTTTGTGATAGCAGAAAGCCTCATTTTTCTCCCTTTGGAGTGTCTGGTAGATTTGAACTGCTGACCTTACGATTAGCAGCCCAATGTGTAACCCACTACACCACCAGCCTCCTTAGTAATGTTTATTATCTATTTTAATCATAGAATAAGATGTGATAAGTGTAGTTGTAATTTGCTTAAATGTAATACTTTTGAGATTATATGAATATTAACAATGTTTTAAAATCTTTCTACTTTAAGTTACGTAACTGAGTGGAAACTTTTTGACTTTTCTTCTTATCATGTCATTGCTACTTCATCCTCAAAAAAAAAGTTATTGCTGCATATTCGTAAATACTACTTAACACCACATAATTTGATAAAGTCAGCAACACTAAAAAATATGGGCAGCAATGAAAATAATGGCATGTGATTGTAGCAAGTGCAAACAAAAATCACATGCTTCAAAGCATTATTGTAATTGGGTAATAAAGACAGCTCAGATGGAAACTCATTCGGGAAGTAAAGTAGCATGAAGCTTTAGCCTTGTAGGTAAAATGTTTGTGTAAGCTGGGCTTGTAAAAAATGTTTTGTTGTTATAACTAACTTCAGGGATGTTTTTATAAATAATAATACATTTCTGCTGAAACACTGCACAAAAATTGTATCGACAGTCACGTTTGACCTCACTCCCTCTGACTGTGTAACCCAGTGTGGTCCACATCCTCAGCATCCCCAAGTGATGCCAATTTTGATGGCACAACAGTTAAGTGCTAGTCTGCTAACAGAAATATTGACAATTTGAACCCACCCAGCAATTAGACTGCTAATTGCAAGGTCGGTGGTTCAAATGTATTGGCCATTCCTCTGGAGAAAGATGAGGCTATCTGCTCCTCTAAAGATTTAGTCTCAGAAAACCTATACAGGGTCTCTTTGAGACAGAACCCATTCAATGGCAGTGAGTTTGGTTTGGGAGCCCCTCTGCAGCAGAAAAACCTGGCAATCTGCTCCTATAAAAATTATAGCCTAGAAAAGTCTATGAAGAAATTCTGTTGTGTCACATTGAGTTGCTATGAGTTGGAATAGATTGGAGGACATGGGTTCTATCTTAAAAGAGCTTCTATTCTAGTAGCAGCAGAAATAATGATAATACTGACCAACAATTATTTAAATTTATTTAAATAGACACTTTACAAACATGTTTGTTGTTGTTGTTATATGCCGTGGAGGTTCCAACTCATAGTGACCCTGTACAGGGTTTCCAAGGCTGTAAATCTTTATGGGAGCAGAAAGCTTCATCTTTCTTCTGTGGAACAGCTGGTAGTTTCGAACTGCTGACCATGAGATTAGCAGCCTGATTTGTAACCACTACACTGCCAGAGCTCATGCTTGTTGTTGTGGTTGTGTGCCATGGAGGTTCCGACTCACAGCGACCCTGTACAGGGTTTCCGAGGCTGTAAATCTTAACAGGAGCAGAAAGCCTCATCTTTCTCCTGCAGAACAGCTGGTAGTTTCGAACTGCTGACCTTGTGGTTCACAGCCCGATTCGTAACCGCTACGCTACCAGAGCTCATGCTTAGTTCTTGTTAAAAGAAAAATCGCTCAGAGAAAAGTTACCATCTCCATTTTATAGAAGGAATTGAGGCTTGGAAAGTTAAATAAGTTGTCTGAAGTAACATGGAGCCTTGGTGTGGCGCTGCAGGATAATGCACTGGACTGCAAGGTCAGTTTGAGCTGCAATGTAGACAGATTAAACCCACCAGCCACTCCTCAGAAACTCTATACTACAGGGTCAGTATGAGTCAAAACCGACTCAGAGACAACAACAACAAGGTAACATAGTCACTGAGTGGCAGTGTATGAACTCAGGTCAGGTTGGACATTTAAAAGACATACTCTGCAGATAGGTATGGTATCAGACACTATGTGATTAGTATCACACAATATTAGCAGCACAGAGGAATTTAAAAGCTTCCTTTTTAGGATATGTTGTTATATGTGGAGTTCTCATCTTGGGGTGTGAGTTAATGCGCTAGACTGCACGGTCGGCGGTTCAAGCTTACTAGTGCTCCTCAGAAACCCTATTCAAGGTCCCTATGAGTCCTAACTCAATGGAACTTAACAACAACAACAACAGCATTTAGGGTATGTAGGAGATAGAGAATGTAAACGTAGAACTGTAGGAATAGAACAGTCTATTAATAGGTCATCCTTAGATATGCTATTTGAACTGCAAGGTTGGTGGTTCAAGCTCACCAGCTGCTCCTTGGAAACCCTATACAGGGTCGCTATGAGTCGGAACTGACTCGATGGCACTTAACAACAATAACAGCTATAGATGTGGTAGGGAAGGAGTCTGGCTCCATAGGCTGAAGATAATCGCTCCTTTTAGAGTAATGAGATCTCAAATTAGAAAGCTTCACTGGAGATGATGCAGAGTGGGACAGCATAGAGCTGGATGATTCTTTGGAGACCATCTAATCTTCTTTTCCTTTAACAGATGAAGACAGTGAAAACTAGAAAGAGAAAGTGCTTTATATAGGGACACACAGCATATTAATGATAGTCAGGCATCAGGTCTTTGGAATTTCAGACCATTGTATTCTGGATTTTAATTAAGAATACATGGGGAGTCATTGAGTGCTTTACTTTAGTCCTTATGTGTTGACAGTGGTAAAGATGGATGAAAAGGATAAAAAAGTCTGATTCTTTTCTTGTTGTCTCTCCAAGAGTAGGTTGCTCTACACTGCATTTACTTTCATGCAAATCTGAAGAGACTTCATTAGAGAAGTGAATCATTTGTCAATGCATGATCTTTAATAAGTGACTGGGAAATTATCATTTTAGATCAAAAATAGTTTTATGGAGAATATTTAAGATGATTTGATACCATGTAAGACTAACGGATATCAATAAAAGAGGATTTATATGCCTATAAATATTTTAAACCTGACATTTCAAGTAAAGAACAGGAAATAACAGAAGTAACAAATCATACGGTTTAAAAATGCATTTAAGTTGACGTATCTGAAAATAAATTAAAGGGAAGTTATAACTGAAATGGTATCATTTTATTATTAACTGTTGAAAATAATATCTTCCCAGTTGGTTAAAATATAAGGTATAATGCAAAAGGAAGGTAGAATTTGTTTTAGGTGGTTCCTTTCTATGGTTTACCATCTCCCATCATATCTACCTACGTAGGTAAGAAAATGAGTGCTTTACCTCACTTTTACTGGATTTTGGTTCAGTTCAACATTGCTGAATTTAGAAATTGAGTGCTTTACCGCACTCTTACTGGATTTTGGTTAAGTTCACCATTGCTGACCTGTCACATTGGCATTATTATCATTTTGCTGGTCATAACTAACATATGCATTACCTACCTGGAGAGACTTTTATACTTTTATAGTAAGGAGTTGAATTCACCTTACTACAGGTATTAGTAGTTGATTGTTGTTGTTGTTAAGAGCTATTGAGTCAGTTCTGAGAAGTGGCTGGTGGGTTTGAACTGCCAAACTTGTGATTAGCATTCCAGTGCTTATCCTGCAGTGCCACACCAGTATTTGATTAGTCACCACAAATTTATGACGTGCATGCTAAGTTTTTGTTTTATTTTGTTTTTACTCTTTTATAAATATTTATGGTAAATGTGATTCATATTTTAGAAGTGGGTCATTCTCTGTAAATGCGTAGTATTCCAAATGTTACAGAAGAATGGTAATTCTCACCTGCAAAAACAAAACAAAACAAAACAAAAAACTGCAGTCTGTTTAGATTGTTATCAATGTGCACCACTGACAACACTAAGAAAACTATTGTAATCCTAGAATCCTTGATGCCACATGTGTGATCTCTTCTTTGATATTTTACACTTTGTGGAAAGTTTGACATTTGAAAAGTAAAATGAAAACAACTCAGGTTTTGACCTGTA